GACACACGACTGAGCCTGGACACAATTGATCGCATTCTTCGGTCAATCCAGCCACAAGCATCCACAGACTGACTGTGTACCTACCCAAAACATTTATCAAAATAGAACATTTTTCACCATAGGTGTTCTTAACTACCATCTTCAGAAATGCCATCATCATTAAAGTGACACAGCGTCTTTTTTTTTTTTTTTAAATAACAAACAAACCTATGCTTACCTGCTCTGTGCAGTGGTTTTGCACACAGCAGTCCGGATCCTCTTTTTGTCAGGTGCCTGCCGACGCTCCTGGCTCCTCCCCCTTGAGAAGTGCCCCCAGGGAAAGCCGTTGGCCCTGGGGACACAGCTACATGGTCATGATAAGACACAGAGCCGCGGCACAGCTCCATCCCCCACTCTCTCCTCATTGATCCACTGGCTGTGATTGACAACAGTGGGAGCCCACTGGCTCAGCCAATGAGGAAGAGTTCCCAGACAGCAGAGGCTGTTGAGAACTTTGCAGGATCGCAGGGGGGCTCAGGTAAGGATTGGGGGGGGGGGGGTCTGTCCTTGATATAAGGCCACTAATTACACAGCAGGAAGAGGGTGAGGAAGTAGGAAAGTATCAGTGGGGGGAGGGGGGGAGAAGATCTGCACACAGAAGGTTTTGCATGCATAGAATACACAACGGTAAAATACCTCCAGCCTTTAGAACCACTTTAACACTCTTGCAGTTAATTAAAACAGTATGTTAATATGATACTCGCCTATTAACCAGCAAAAATTTTAAAAAATACTGTTATTTCTGTAAATTTGAAGAAACTTTTGACTTGCTTAAGGAGTAAGTGTTTAGTACATAGATTTGCACAAAAAACAAGACTGAACTGGCCTGAAGAGAAACAAAAGCACCAGTAGGACATAATTTCTGATCCCCATTAGCCCTGCAGCACATTCCTTATGAACCATGAATAGTTAACATGCACAAACCACTCTAGCCAACCCAGGAACATCCAGTGGCAAAAGCACATGTATATATTGTTATTTTACATACTAACATACTTTGATACTAAGGGTACTTTATAATATCTAAGAGTCACAGGAAAATGATTACTGGTCATGGAGAGATCACTTATTTTATGTTGAGAAAGAAGTGAAAGAACTGTAAAAAGGACTCTTCTATATAAACTTGCAAACCAAAAGCATGCCACCATAGCAGGGTTTTTTTCAAAATATTTTGGCTCACCATCGTAGCATAAAGGTAGGGCACCAGATACAGTCAAAAACAACAGATTCAAGGTTGTGTTATAACATTTTTTAACATACTTGTAGATTCCATACCTTGCAGTACAGTACAGGAATTAATTCCTAGAGCATGGGTTATATGATGTTATTTTTAGGTGACACTGGCAAAGTTTTTAGGTGACACTGGCAAAGTTTTGCTGGGACCACCCCCCAGTGAACCAATATAACCTGCCCACTGTATAAGCTTCCACTTTAAGGAAGCAGTAAGGATATCACTGAAAAAAAGGAATGGAAGGGACATGCATCTTTCACTGTACTCCAAAATATGAAATTTAGAGGTACATCAAAATTCCTATTTATTGTACAGTACAGGACAAAAAAAATGATTCTTATACCTTGGGACATTTCTAAACAATAAGTCAAGGGGTGGGCAACAAATTACAAAGACTGCAGCAACAGGCCCATAGGTAAACCAAGAATGGTCAATGGACCTGAAAGACAGTTTGTCTTGAAGCATCTTGCATCCAAAACTTGGATCAGCAGAGGCTCAAATAACCACTTGTCAAAAAATGATTTTGAAAATGTGGTGACAGGTAGTGACCCTGCAACTTACGAAAAGACAGGTGGTGAATTCAGCAAAAAGCCCAGGGGAGAGACGGGTTCCCTGGGGGCCAACGTCCTAGAAATAAAAAAAAAAAAAAAAAAAAAAAAAAAGAGGCAAAATAACCGCCAGGTGGTTGGAAGAGGAGGTAGAGAACCCAGAGAATTCCTTGTGAGGAAACGGAGGAGGGGTCAGTTCCCATGGGAAGATGTGGCAGCCAGCCATATATGACAGTCCTGACTCTTCACATAAGGTAATAATAACATTTTTGACATGCCTTCAAGGCAGAACATGGGGAGGGAGAATTACAATACAATGAAAGGTGAGTAGAAGAACCCCGGGGAAGCATGGAGACAATGTATCTTGGCTTCCAGGATACTTTGTCCCCATGTAGCATAAGAAAAAGACAGGTTTTCAAAAAGAAAATACTTTGAGCTAAGGCTGCCAAGGGCAATGGAAAAGAAAAGGCTCAATTTCTACAGAGGACCTTTTGAGGGAGTAACCCCATTGAACACAAGAGAAAGGCTCTGTGTGAGCAAAAGCAAAGCACTTGAGGATGGGCCCAGAGAGACACAGGAAGCTGCTAGGGGCAAGGAAGAAGAGCAATGTCTGACAAAGAAGGGTGCACATGAAGTGTGGAAGCCAAGGTGTTAGAACGTGGATATACAAGGCCACACCAAAACCCGCAGGGTAACCAGGGCTGGAGGCGTGATGATTCCAAACATAAAAAGCTGCAGGATGAAGAGCAGGAACAAATTCTAAGATGGGGGTTTCAATAACTGTAACAAACTAGAGAAATACTTCACATAATAGACTGCAGCAGAGTATGGGGGAAGTGATCTACCTAGAGGTTGGAAGTTGCATAACTGGTGAATATCAGTGTATTAGAGATGCAGAAAGATCTCTGGGCTAGGGTCTGTAGAGCAGTCATATAACTCAAGACGTTTAGTGAGAGGAAGAAAAGTGACAGGGCACCTACAGATCGCAAAAGGAGTGGGAAAAAAGCACATAAAGGGAGTATTAAGAACAGAGGCAATTCAACCTTTACCAGTACTAAGCCGGCAAACAAAGTCGACTGGTACAAAAGTCAGGTTTTTGAGAAGTCTGCAACCATCATAAGAGGAAGAAGGACGTATCAAAAGATAAGGGCAGAGTCCAACGGCTGTAAGCCAGAAAGATATGAGTTTATGGAAATGTGAACTCTATCCTAGAATGCAGTAAACGGAGTATGATAGAGACCGCCAGTATAACTTGAAAGAAATTGTCCTAGAAGGGCAACTGAATGGGTGCTAATAACAGCATGTTCCATTAAGACTCAACACCAACAAAATGTGATAAAGGGAGAATATAATTGATAATGATGTAAGGATTAGATCCAGATACCCCTAGCAACACAAGGGCAGGGGGAGGAGCCTAAGAAAATGCAGGATCAACTGAAAAGTAAAAGCGTAAATTTTTGTTCATTTATAATTTGACTAATTTTATTTACCATAATGATTTAATATTCTTATAAGTTTCTTTCATTTTTACTGGATTTACATTGATATCTTTATGTTCTTTTGGCCCTGATAAAGGGGGTCTACCTCCCCCTAAAACCTATTAGGAACTGTCATTTTTTTTTTTTTTTAATACAGTACTACCTTGACAATACTTCATCAAGGCGCCCTTCCCCAATACTTGTCAACTATCATTAGGTGTCTGCAGACACCCACAGATATAATATCATTGAGCAAGTCAGCTCTGTTTGGTAACAGCCATATAATGTCTATTGGTAAATTAAGCGGAACTTGTGATGGTGTAAATATTGGTGCTGCCACAAATGACTAGTTTCTAAAAGGTGGAAAGAGGTTCTAAAAGGTGCAGGAGGCTTCTCTTCATCATTACTTCACTACTCAGGGAGACAATGACCTGCAATCAAGCAGGTATCAGGAACCAGATATACAGTGCTCAGCATAAATGAGTACACCCCAACAGATTTGTAAGAAATCATTTACTTCCCTTTCAGAATCAACATTTTCTATGCGACACTACTCTACAAAATACTCTCACAAATGCTGGCCATTGTTTGCAAACAAAATTTATTAATCTGCACACACAAAAAAGTATTTTTCCTAACAAATTCATTCAAGACCATATTGCAAAAATCAATACACCCCAAAGAAAGTCTTAGCAGCAAAGCAAAATTTTAGACAACAAAATCCTAATTAACCACTTCCTGTCTGGACACTTTTACCCCCTTCCTGTCCAGGGCAATTTTCAGCTTTCAGCGCTATCACACTTTGAATGACAATTGCGCAGTCATGCAACACTGTACCCATATGAATTTTTTAGCATTTTTTTGAGACAGATAAAGCTTTATTTTGGTGGTATGTTTTCACCGCTGGGATTTTAATTTTTTTTGCTATGTAAATGAAAATGTCCAAAAATTTTGAAAAAAAGTATTTTTCTTATAAAATTTTGCAAATAAATAATATTTGATCATAAATCTTGGCCAAAATTTATTCCGTTATCTTTTTAGTAAAAAAAAAAAAAAAAAAGCCAAAATTAGTTTATAACCAAAAATTATAATTTTTAAACTTTTTTTTTACATTTTTATTTATTTTTTTACAAAAGCAGTATAGTGTCACCATGGTGACACTGTACTACTTGTGGGGGGGGTGATGAAGATTTTTTTTTTTTTTTTTACACTGATTGCTTTTACACCCATATTACGCCATAGGATGTAAAAGCAATAATTTCTCTCTCTGTCGGCATTCTTGCAGCCATTGAGAACTACTAAGTGAGCCGTGATTGGTCACAGTTTGTCACATTGTACAAGGCTGTAGTGAATAGCCTTGTACCATGTGACCTCTGTGATCATTCACAGATTTCACACGTAGTAAGCAATGATGTCACAAGTGACATCTTGCTTACTACTTTGCATGTGATCACTGATTGGCCAATCAGTGATCACATGATCGGGACCTCGTACAAAGGTCCCATTCGACGATCGGTGTTTCGATGTGTCCGGAGGACACAGCGGGCACCGGATCGCGGTGCTGCGCGCTCCCAGGAAGCGCGCACAAGCAGGGTGCGGAGAGGCCGTTTATAAACGGCCACCCGACCCTGCACTGCCACCGTCCGGCCGTTTATATACAACGGCCGAACGGAAGGTGGTTAACAAGAATTATTCATTAAACAAGTGTCCAGCAGACAGTTCACTATTAAGCTAGGTTCACTCCTATGCAGTTTGCGTTTGATCTATTTCTGCAGTGCTTTTTGCAGTGCATTCTGCGTTTTTGATGCGTTTTGTTTCTTGTTGCTAGGGAGTTTAAACCACAGCAAAAACGCACTACATGCTTTTCTGCAGCATCTCCATTGAAGTCTATAGAGCCAAAAACCACACTGGGTGAAAACGTGGAGATGTGAACGTGTCCCATAGGAAATCATGTTAAATTGAGTGCTGTGCTTTTCCGCATAACGCTGCGGAAAACGCTTAGGTGTGAACCTAGACTAAAAGGGCGTTACTTAAAAAAAAAAAAAAACCTTCCCATTTCACGCTGTCAGCAATGGTACCACATGGAAGAGAAATGTCACAAGGCCTGAGAAAGAAAATTATTTCTTTAAACAATAAAGGTGAAGGCTACAACATGATCAGCAAAGCTTTACTTATTAGGCAGAATACTGTAGCAAAAGTGATACAAAAATTTAAGATGGAACTGCAACCATCTCACAGAGACATCCAGGCCATCCACAGAAGTGAACAGGAGCGTCTGCTGATGAGAAGGGTTGAAGAAAATCGCCATGCAAATCCACTGCAGTTAGCTAAAGAAGTAGAAAGCCAAACTGGGGTGATTGTTTCCGGTGACACAAGATGGCGTACACGGCAGAGGAATGGCATGCATGGATGTCGTCCACGAAGGAAGCCTCTCCTAAAGCCCATGCACAAAAAGGCCCGCCTAGAATTTGCCAGGGCCCATGCTAATAAAGAAGACTACTGGGACTCTGTACTCTGGAGTGATGAGACCAAGATAAAGGTTTTTGGAACGGATGGCTTAAAAATTGTATGGTGCTGCAAAGTGTACAAAGAAAAATGACAGTGTCCTTCTGTGGGGCTGCATGAGTAATGCTGGTGTTGGGGAGCTGAATTTAATTGATAGTATCATGAATTCACAGATGTACTGCTCTATATTGAAAGATGCTGCCTTCACTCCATGCCATTGGTCATCGTACACTTTTCAAACATGACATTGATCCAAAACACACATCTAAAGGCACTGCTGCATTTCTGAAGAACAGGGTGAAAGTGATTCAGTGGCCAAGTATGTCTCCTGATCTGAACCCAATTGAACACCTACGGATAATTCTGAAGAGACAAGTTCAGCATCACTCTCCATCCAGCATCTAAAGGCTCCAGGCTCTAAAAGAGGTCATTCTTGAAGAATGGAATAAGATAAAAGTCGCCAACTTGTTCATTCCATGCCTAGAAGACTTGGTGCTGTCCTAAAAAAATCATGGAGGTCATACAAAATACTAGATGTAGTCCTTTTTGTTGTGGGGTGCATTCATTTTTGCATCAACTAATTTGAGTAAAACTAAAGATTTTGTAATCTAAGTTATATTATTAACCTTACTTTCATGTAATGGGCAAAACAAATGTTCTATAAAACTCAGTTTTGTAAAAATTTTGGAAACTTGTTCTTGTGTTCATTAAAATGATTAAAATCTTACTTTTCAAAAGGGGTGTACTAATTTATGCTGAGCACTGTATATATGCTTGTTTGTGGGTGTATAACTCACCAAGGACGGACAAAGATGATTACTATGGAGCCTGCACCTTCAAAAACAAGTGAACAGTGAAAGCTCCAATATTTTTTATTCTGAAATTTTCCATCTAAAGACAACCTTTTTTTCCTGATGTGTTTATCTAGTGTTGATCAACATATGAATAGACACATTTAATATAAAGGAAAGTTCACGTTACTTCCAGTCTTCATAAGTCAGCCTACTGTAATCAGTGATCATACTGTTTCCTACATGTTTATACAAATAGCCAAGAAAATACCCTATACCTCCAAAGCTGCATATCGGTTGTTTTCCTTTTTTATTTTAAAATATGATAGATACATAGAATAGTATGTGTATATGCCCCATTGACAAGGTGTTCAGTAATGTATATCCTATCTGTAATTCAATGTGTTTTCAGGCTCTTGCTACCATTTATAGCTAATGACGTTATCTTGATTCAATGAAAATAAGACACACAAATGACTCACATGCACAACACGTTGCAATCCAATGTGCAGAGTTCTGATATGACTTACATTTACATAAAATAACTTGCATTATACATCCAGAAGGGTGGAGCAGGAAAGATTAAAGTACAACATGGAGAATATACACTGAAACTCTTATATAAGTCAGAGCACCAAATCCTGCAGCTTCAAACATTCAACAGAGGCTAATGAATGCAAACAGGAGGAACAATCTGTACTATAGACAGACTGCACTAGTAAAATTAAATGTATAATGTTATTGGCTGCTGTGCCCACGGGAGAGGTCTCAGCAGCTCAATGATACTTGTTTGTGCTTGTTACTACTCAGTATTACTAGAGGACATTAGCAGTATAAAATCTCTTTGAAGCCCAATGAGCAGGCCACCATTAAGGCTATTGTTTTCGAAAAACTTGTTAAAAAAAAAAAACCTTGCCACATCCTAAGGTTCAATGAGAGACATCCTGCCTGAAAAGAAACTAGTGATTTCTTTTGCTAGCCCACGGTTCCCTGGGAATCCCTTGACATTCACAATTTTTGCCTTCAGAACTACCTCAACTTTTCATGGCATAGATTCAAGAAGGTGTTGGAAATATTTACTCAGAGATTTTGGTCCATATTGACATGATAGCATCACGCAGTGCTGGAGATTTGTCAGCTGCACATCCATGAACCATGGATACATGGCAGGATGGAACCATGCTTTCATGTTGTTTATGCAAAATTCTGACCATACCATCTGAATGTTGCAACTGAAATTGACACTCATCACACCAGGCAATGTTTTTCCAATCTTGTTCAATTTTGGTGAGGCTGTGCAAATTGTAGCCTCTATTTCCTGTTATTAGCTGACAGGAGTGGCACCTGGTGTGCTCTTCTACTGCTGTAGCCAATCTGCTTCAAGGTTCAATGTGTTGCACGTTCAGAGATGGTATTCTGTATACCTTGGTTGAAACAAGTGGGTATTTTCAATACTGTTGCCTTTCTCAAACCAGTCTGCCCATTGTACTTTGACATCAACAAGGCATTTTTGTCCACACAACTGCCGATATTTTCTCTTTTTTGGACAATTCTCTGTAAACCCTAGAGATGGCCGTGCGTGAAAATCCCAGTGGATTAGCAGTTTTTGAAACACTCACACCAGCCTGTCTGGCAGCAACAACCATGGCATGTTCAAAGTCACTTAAAATGTTACTAAACCCACAACAGTAAAATCAGTCTATATATGCAGTAAAGCATGCTGGTTATACTCACTGTGAACTAAAGGGGTTAATGTTCTGTATTGTGTAAAAAGGATGTCTGACCCTATCTTTTCTGATCTTCCTCTTCTTCCACGTTCCCCCATTTCATCTCCTGATAGAACAGAGCCTCAGGGACACTCTGCACATGCTCAGTTTGGTGTGTAATGCTAGAGAGTTTTTTTCTTTTTCTTGGGAGAGCGCATGTGATCAGCACAGGGCCAATCAGAACTGTCCAGACAGAGGGTCAGGGGTCCTGAAGTCTCATAGGGCAGTGAGAGTAGAACGGAAACGCCTCCTACAAGCTTTAACCAGTGCTCAGCTGGACACGGATAGAAGTCACAAGACTGCTCTACCCACTGATAAGAAAAGGTATTTACTAAAATAATTGCATTCACATGTTCTGTGTACTTTGGGAGACCAAATATAGTGAATGCAGGGTCCTGGGTTTAGTAACATTTTACATCCCCCCTTTCTTCCCCATTCTGATACTCGATTATAACTTCAGCAAGTCATCTTCACCAGGTCTAGATGCCTAGATACATTGAGTTGCTGCCACTGTGATTGGCTGATTAGCAGTGTCCGAAGAGTGAATATATATACATATATATCTCAGGAAGTGAGGCTGCATCTGTTAGTTTTTTGTTCTTTGCAGTCACAGGTGCACTCCACTGGCAAAGTCCAACATAATAAAAGGTGGGATGCCAGACACAACTCAGATATACAATTCAAATTTACTTTAGGGCTGAACAAGGTTATTATATTAACAAAAAGAACAGAACGTTTGGGCATCCTCACTCTTTCTCAAGTTCAAATGTCCCACAAGAAAGTGAAGTTAAAAAAAAAAAAAAAAACAGAAATTACATCTCTATCTCACTTGCAATTCTTGAGAATTATAGACTTTAATAAGAATAATTAATAACCATAGACATTTGATAAGTGGAGTTAAAAAAACCGGAGTGGAAAAGAGGAGATTATAACAGGAGTCTACTAACCTGTAAGTGACAACTGATATTTCCTATTAATATTGTAACTGGGATAATGAAAGCTAGCAGGGTGGAAGGTTTTGTGCAGTGCACAGTGTGCCATATGTATGCAGCAATGGAGCAACAGCTCCAGGATGGAAACCGCTGCGACAGATGTGAGCAGGTTGCTCTTCTGGAAACTCACGTTAGAGATCTGGAGTAGTAAGTTGCAATACTGGGCAGAACCGACAACCTTGAAAGGGGTCTTCTGCTCTCTGAGCAGGTAGCTAATGGGATTGATGTGGAGGGTGAAGGGGCTAATCAGGATTTTCAGGTAGGAAGATGGATTACTGTAACGAGAGGCAGTGGTTAGGTCTCAAAAAAAGGAAGGCTGGCCCTGGACCATAACAGATGGGAGGGCAGACCATCTGGGAGGGGTGGTAAGGGTAGTGCAGGAAGGCCTAGACAGCTGGTGGTGGTAGGGGATTCTATAATCAAAAGAACTGATAGAATAATTTGTTGCCAGGATCGCCTCAACCGAAAGGTTTGCTGTCTCCCTGGTGCCAGGATTCGGCATGTGGTGGACCAGGCTGATAAATTACTGGGAGGGGCTGGGCATGACCCAGCTGTCTTGGTCCACGTTGGAACCAATGTCAGAATAAATGGAAGGTGGAGGCTCCTTAAGGATCAATTTAAAGAACAAGGCTGCAAGTTGAAGGGAAGGACCTCCAAGGTGATATTCTTTGAAATATTACCTGTGCCATTCACAGCTCAGGAAAGACAGGGGGAGATTAGAGAACTCAATCCACGGCTAAATACCTGTTGTAAGAGGGAAGGATTTGGATTTCTAGAGCACTGGGCTGACTTTTCAGTGGGGTGCAAGCTTTATGCTAGAGATGGTTTGCACCTAAAAGGAAGGGGGTCTGCTGTGCTGGAGGACAGATTTATGGGAAGGCTGGAGGAGTATTTAAACTAGGATCGAGGGGGAGGGAGAATTAGATTATAACAGGGTAGACAGATCAGACAAGGGTCAGTACTTATTGGTGGGTGGAATGTGAAAGATGGGGGGAGGGCTATGGCATATAAAAGAAGGTTCCCATGGTACAAACAACCAGTGGAATTGGTACCATTTGTATGAAAATAAATATGCACAATATGTGTGCACAAGGTGTCAATGAATTAAAGGGTTTGTTCACCAATGCCAGAAGTCTGCCAAGCAAAACAGGTGAGTTGGAAGCTTTGGTGCATGTACAGAACTATGATTTAATTGGTATTGTTGAATCTTGGCTTCATTTTTCACAAGAGTGGGCATTAATATTCCTGGCTATGTCCTCTTTCGGAGAG